CAATAAGAGAAACTAGTGCTGCAAGAATGTATTTTTTAATGAGGTTCCTTTTTTGTCTTGCCTGTTTTTGTTTTTTTTAAACTGAAAGTCCTCACTGACCTCCATAAACAGAACTGAGTTCCCCTGTTCTCTAACAGGGGCAAAGAGCTATGATAAATCATGCATTTTTGACCTTGTTTGATTCCTTGTCTATAACATGTATTTTACAAGACAGTAAGTAAGACTGGGGAAGCAGTAGAATGTGTTTTTACTCCCTCTGTCCTCTAGGGAGACTTCTAAATTGTATGCTCCAGGGTGTTCTCAGACTTTTATATAAATTTCCTTTCCATCTAATCAAACTTTTGCATTGTTCTTTTCAAGTATATTTCTATTTGCTCTCTTTTTCTGCCTTCTCTCAAAAAGTAACTCCAGATTTGACAATTGCAGTTTTTACATTCCATAGCTTTCTGGTGCAGCTATTCTCATTCATATCTTAATCTTTCCCTGTTGGCATCAGCTTTTTTTCCTGGGAACCTCCTTCATGGTCTTCTAAGTCAGCATTAGTTTTGAAATTGTTGGCCTTGCATAATAAGTTCTGCATAGCATCCAATGTAACGATAGAGCCAACGAGTAATTCTAGCATGTGTTTAGTATGGTTTTTGTGGCAGCATAACTGACAGATGAAGAAAACTGTTCTCAGGTTACTATGCTGAAATTCCAAAATGTCATTTTGAGTAGTATTCACTTCATTCTGGTATTGAAGCAATCATGTTAGGAGAAAGGTTGTTAGACTGTTTTTGTTTAATTGACTTCTAAAATAAATGTTCAAATTGTCTGTTTCTAAAAAGTTTACCAAATGCCTAGTGCAGTTAAACATACTCTTGTTTAAGAGGGTGTTGCTAAATTTTTTATTATCATTACTAAATAATCTTTGTAGCAAAATGTCTGTCAGCACTTTTCTGTCCCCTTTTATCTCCTATTTTCAGGAGTCACATGTAGCCATAAACTGTATCTTGGTCCGACACTTTAACTAAAAATTTCCAGTTAGAGGAGTTTATTGCCAAATTAAATTTGGCTGTCTTTATTCCCCACGTATATAGATAGTAAGGAAGGTATACTTAAAAAAATGTTTGGACTCCTTTAAAACCTGAGCAATGTCATTAATCCATAATGTGGACTAGTGATGAATAGATATTTTCATAAGAGTTTAAATGCTGATATTTGGTGGAAGTAGAGAGTAACTTGTATTCTATCAATTCAAATATTCTTAGTACGGTTGCTTTCCCTGTTTGTTCGATAGACTGATAATACTGGAATCTACAGAATTTGAGCCTTTACAACTTATGTGAAGAAGTGTCTCAAACATTTCTGGACAAATCTCATTTTGTATTTCTGGAAGAATGTAAATCTTATAGGCCACTTAACATCAATGGTCCCAAGTTGAATATTCTTGAGAAATTTGTTTCTTGTTATGCCATTTGACATTTCAAATCCGTGACCATGTTCCTGTTAATATTCAAAACAACTATGTTAAGGTTGTGATAGAAACTGTGTTTTCTTGCTTTTTGGAATATAGTTCATACACGTATATTACTTGAATATTGTTTGAGATCACTAACTTGCCAGGGCAGTTCCCACTGACCTAGATGGTCCAATATAATCTCATTCAGGAGGCTTGAAACATTAATGGTTTAGTCTTGTGAACTTTAACAGTTCCCTGTCATCATTTAACAAAATCAACAACTGGCACAACTTCTTAAGCTGTGATTTCAGTCTCTGCTAGTTCATATTGCATGTTTATTTTGGACAGTCTTCTGTTAAGCATGGTGCTTGTACTGGTTTAAATAAAATGTTAACATGAAAAGGCTTCTGGCTTTTCTTTTTTTTTCTCACCTCCTCTGCCTTTTAGAGTTACTTTTACCTGCCTGGCTCAGTTGCGGTCTTTGCATGAGCCACACAGATTCAGTTTACTTTCTCTGGAAAAACTGAAAGGCAAAATAAGCAGGAATCACTTGGCAAAAATAGGATGGGTGAAGGAGAATGTAACAAGATTATAAAAATTTCTAAAACTTGGTCTGGTGCTAAAATGATTGTAGTGGCAGAGGGCGTTCTTTCTTTTCTTTCTTTTTTTTAATGTTTATTTTTGAGAGAAAGAGTGTGAGCAGGGGAGGGGCAGAGAGAGGGAGACACAGAATCTGAAGCAGGCTCCAGGCTCTGAGCTGTCAGCACAGAGCCCGATGTGGGGCTCAAACCCACAAACCATGAGATCGTGACCTGAGCCAAAGTCGGATGTTTAACCAACCTAGCCACCTGGGTGCCCCCAGAGCCCCCTCTTT